GAGCTCAGCCCAGCGGGGGCGCTCAACATCCGCACCCATCTCCTCACGCCAAGCGTCGTCAAGGCGGGAGAAGCAGCGGTACGGGGTGTGGAACCTCCCACACGTCTGTCCCTTGCGGTCACCTGTACGAATGACATAAGAACAGCGGCCACTGCCCCCCGACGTCCCACGCTGAGCAAGCCACTCACGAAGCTGCTGGGTCGTCTGGGGACGCTGCTGCTGCTGGGAGCTCTGGCCCGAGCCAGTGCCTCCACTCCGACCTCCGCCGCCACCACTACCACCGCTCCGACCGCCACCGCCACCACCGCCACCACCGCCACCGCCGCCACCGCCGCCGCCGCCACTACTGCCACTACTGCCACTGCTTCCTCCGCCGCCCCCGCCTCCACCGCCGACCCCACTCCCACCAGCGCTCCCGCCACCGCTCCCTCCAGCACCGCCTCCCCCCCCACCTCCCCCACCTCCTCCCCCCCCAGCGCCACCACCACCACCCTTGCCCCCCTTGCCCTTGCCGGTGCGGCGCCTCCCACCAGGAGCAGAAGCAGCGCCAACAGACTCAGCACCAAGGAAGTCAACAGCAGCAGCAGTAGCGTAGGAGGGAGCGAGGGGAGAGGGAGAACACCCCTCAAAGATGGGGGTGCGAGGAGCGCCACGAGCAGCACCGACAGCTACAATGCTCTTTTCGGCCGCGAGCAGCTGCTCCTCTAGGAGGGTGACTGTGAGCTCAGTGGGACAGCGAGCAAGGAAGTGGTCTCGAACTGAGCTGAGGGTGTCAGGGAGACGGGTGACTATGAAGTGGAGTGTCCAGTACAGTGGAGGGGGGTTCTTAGCGCAGAACTCGGTGGGAAGGGCGGCACGCAGGCGAGCATCACTAGTGCGAAGGTGGGTGATAAGATCGGCGACTGTAGCAAAGGTGGACAGATCGGGGAACAGGTACGGCAGCATGAGGCGGCTAAGCTCGGCTGTGGCAGGCGAGGAGTAGCGAGCAACGACAGCATCGTACAGGGCCTTAGCGGATTTGCAGTCGCCAAAATGCTCGAGCTCAGCTAGCGGCAGGTGACTGCGAATGGCTAGGCGAGCAGCTGCGTCACGAGTCTGCCAGTGGGAACGAACACTAAGCTCAGCTGTGGCAGGGGGGGCAGGTGCAGCACCAGACGCGTAATCATAGAGCGACACATGCTCCTTGCTATCGCTCAGAAGGAACAGCTGCAGGTCATCCAGCCAAGTGGCGAACTTCACAGGGCGGCCCTCAGCATCGAACGACAGCACGCGGATGGAAGCCATAGCGACAGTGCGACTGAGCAAAGGAAGCTGCCACAGCGCTGCAGGTAGGTAGCTCGGCGGGAAGCGCGGCTGGCGGGCGACGCGGCGAGCAGGTAGTGCGGGGGGCGGGCTACGAAGCGGGCAGCGCGGTGGGCAGGCGGCGCTGCAGGCGGGAAGTGCGGCGGGCGGGCTGCGAAGCGGGCAGCGGGGCGGGCGGGCGACGCGGCGAGCGGGCAGCGCGGCGGGCGGGCTGCGAAGCAGGCAGGGGGCGGGCGGGCGACGCTGCAAGCGGGCAGCGGGCGGGCGGGCGACGCTGGCGGGCGACGCTGGCGGGCGACGCTGCGACGCTGGCGGGCGACGCTGGCGGGCGGGCGGGCGACGCTGCAAGCGGGCAGCGAGGCGGGCGGGCGACGAAACGGGCAGCGGGCGGGCGGGCGACGCTGCGAGCGGGCAGCGCGGCGGGCGGGCTGCGAAACGGGCAGCGCGGTAGGCGGGCGACGCTGCGAGCGGGCGGCTCGGCGGGCGGGCGACGCTGCGAGGGCGCTAGCGAGGGCGCGCGAGGGCGCTAACGAGGGGCGCGCGAGGGCGCTAACGAGGGGCGCGCGAGGGCGCTAACGAGGGGCGCGCGAGGGCGCTAACGAGGGCGCGCGAGGGCGCTAACTAGGGGCGCGCGAGGGCGCTAACGAGGGGCGCGCGAGGGCGCTACGAGGCTAGGGCACGGGGTAGCATGGTAACCGCATGCGAGCGGTGGTGGGCCCTTAAAAAAAAAAAAAAACGGTCGGTAGGTCCTAGGGACCTCCTGCTCTGATACCATATCAGAATAACTAGGCAAGAATGAGTGCATTGAATGGAACAGTTGGGTACAAGTAGCAAACCCTAGTTGGGAATGTACCCCATATTGGCTACCCCACTACAGCCTACCAACATATAACACATTACACTTTAACACTAAAGTCTCGTTATTTGCATTCAAAACTTTTCAAACCTTCTCTAAGGACGCGGTGAAAGTGAGGGCGTGTAAAATTGCCGCACCTAAAAATTCGGCCACAAGCCGAATGGCCGAATTGGCGAAAATAAACCGGTTGCAAATTAGACGAAGAAAATTGCGAAAATCACAAATTTCTCCTATAAAAAACGAAATTGAAGGCCGTTTTGACAGTCGACTCGCATCCGACATCATGTCGACTCCAATTCGGCCAAGTAGTCGACTCCGTGAGCGACTGTCACGTGCGACGTCGCACGGTCTCGCTGAACGACATAAATTTATATCGTGACAAATCATAGATTTCGCCGTCAAATGTGCGACCACGTCGCACATTCGAACCTACTGTAGCAACTGCAAATGTTACAACTTTTTGAAACCAGCCTGGAATTCGGCCCTCAAACGTGTAAAGTTTGCAATCTGCAAATAGTGGCTGTAAATGTGACGACACGAAGTCGACCAATCCGTCGCCTTTCGCGAAAGAAATGTCGACCAAATGGTCGTCGTCAACCCGACCAAAAGCAAATTTCGCAAAGTTGCGGAAATTTTACACGCCCTGACAAATTCGGAGGATCGTGAAAGAATACCGATTTTCACGATCGCTTTGGGAAATTGATTGGTGAAACGCTGCACACCCGGCGTAGTAACGATCGGAAAAAACTGTTTGAGCGCTGTGTTCCATTCGCCGGGATCACTTTGGAGCGAAAAGGTTACCCGCTTTACAACAATTTCGTACAAGCTCGAGTGCGAATTTCGCACCTCACAGGGCAACCCGGTCGGCGAATCGATGGCCTTCTGAAATGTGAATATTTGTGCGACTCAATTCACCCGCTTAGCGAAACACTGTCACGTCGCAAGCACTTGGATCAGTCATCACTGTAATGCTCGGTTCCTCAGCATTTGCTTCCCAGCGAAGCCGCGATTGATAGACGATCAGTCGTCCTCTCTGAATGTTTGTGTATTCTGTCTAAAATTGTCACTGTAGCTGGGTTACCTTGTCTGTCAACAGGGTAACCGTTTCACCGCGTTCACCGATCGATCGTCTACTTTCACCGCGTTCTAACAATGCGCACAATCGATGCAGGATCGATCGCAAGAGGGAACGTGTCCTGAGACCCCTGCAGGTACCTGCGCAAGGGCTGCGACGAACATGCTAGCAGAGTCATCGCCCTTCTCCGCCCGCCATAAAATAGTAGTCCCAACTTCCAGCCTGGAAAACGGTACTATTCATCTTGCAGAACGTGTCGTCCCGTTCGATCAAATCGCCACTTTTCAAGCCCGTCAATTTTAGCGAGTCACTATCGATCCGTCAGCAACCACGGCTTCGTGCGGCAGAGTTCATCATCCGTAGCAACGCGCGCAGGGCCGCCAGGGAAGTCAGGATCAGCTAGGTTCGAGGCGGGCCCCGGACGACTCAGGCGACGCGGCAGTGCAGCGCTCCAGATTGGCAGTCGCGTTTAGCGGCGGCGGTGAGCCGCGAGTAGGAAATCATGGCGCTAGTAGGAGTGCGATGGGTGCAGCGCGCGCTGGCTCTCGCATGGTGCCTCGCCGTCCTTCAACTTGCCACGCCCGTCGCCCTGGTCAACGCCGTGCTTATTGACCCCTCGCAAGGTGAGAGATTAGTGCGGCAAACCAAGCAAGACGACTTGAACCAATTCCAAAGAGTGCCCCTTACACCTCGCTAAAATAAGTTATTTGGCGCAGCGCAATGCCCTCAACACTAGCCCACACGTTACACTCGTCCCCCGCTGGTGCTCGTTGGCGAACTTCAGGGAGTCGCCCTCGCAAGGATCACAATTCGCTGAGGAGGCAGCAGCGACTTCGCTGGTGGACGAAGCCAGCGGAGGATCGTTCGCTGGGTTCAAGTCTGGTTACCACATTCGAGTTCTCGCCTCGGGCGGAAAATGTGGACCAGGCGAGAATTGAACCCCTAGGCTCTGATTCTCGAATAACACCTCTCTACCCTCTGGGTCAAACAAGGGTCACCCTTGGCGCAGCGGAATGCCCTTAACACTGGCCCACAGGCGTTACAGCCCCTGAAAGTCTCCCCTCTCAAACCCACCCCCCCCCCCCCCCCCCCCCACCCCCCCCCCCCCCCCCCACGCAAACACAGCTTAACCACTCCGTTCGTTTTCAAGGAACAAGGGAGTTGTCCGGCGGACAACATACCATATTCAGGGGAGACCGTGACGTAACCTTTGGTGTATTCTAGCGTATGTTTTGCATGGGTCAGACGTATCATCCAAAAAACATGGATAGTGGGACTCTAGAAGAACATACCTCGCGTGTGGCGACTTTTCTGAAACTCCTATTTCTACACAATTTAAATGGGTGGTTCCTTTTGGCTTTGGAGGTGCACACAAAGTCCGAGCACCTAGTCCAGAGCTGCGTTTGGTTGCGATGGAGTGACGAAACAGAAACGGGGCGCAGATCAGATTGGCTGCGGCATTTTGTGGCAATTGGTGGCGGGTTTCTGTGGTTCTCAATGCGTTTTTGGCCTGCCCGTATGTTTCTGCTGGGATGGGGAACGTCTTTGTGGCCTGTCCGACGTATAGAAATTCAGAGCCATAATTTTGAGATGGCGTTACTAAGTGCTATGTCGCATTGCATGCTATGTGCGCTCCTCACGCCACGCCAGACAGTCAATTCCTCTACTCCTTCTTCCTCCTATCCTATCTACCTCCGGCACCCTCCAACACGCCACCTTTCCTCCCTCACCCCTCACCACCAACCCTCAACCCCACTCCACCCGCAGTGCAATTCATGCAGGACTGCCAGACAGCATGGAATCAGGTGTTGCCTGGTTGGGGGGCCGCCAATCCAGACTGCACTGCACAGGGTATCACATGCGACAGCAGCGGAATGATCCTGGAGATGTGAGATTCAGTGTGCACTGCCTGCATCTGCAATGTCCTCCTGCCGGTGCTTGCAGTGACCACCATGTTTTGTACCACGGCTAACTCCTAGGCCGTACAACGCTTTCATTCTCCAAGAATCCATTCAATGACATGCTTGGGTGCATGTGGTGTGGGTGCCTTGGGTGCTGTTGGATGCTTGTGCAGGCAACTAGATTCTCTCAGCATAGCTGGGTCCATTCCGAGCTCCATCAGCAGCCTCCCTGCGCTCTCTAAACTGTACGTTCTCTAAGCCCCAAATGCATTGGGCATGTGACGCTTTGGAGAGAAGGTCTCAAATGTGGGCTGGTGGAGAAGGAGGGGCGCGTGAAGGGTGGAGGAATGTCAGAGTGGAGGTATACATGTGCAAAGGGACGAGCTGAGCAAAATTAGGCTCGTTCCTGGCGATTCTTGTTCGAGCAAAGGCACGAGCCAAGTTTTGCTAGGCCGAGCGTTTTCAGCAAAATACCAAGCTTGCTCCTCGTCCCTCTCTTTTGATGAGCTTTTTAGAAGCTCGTCCTAGCTTTAAAAAGCTTGGCCGAGCGCGACTCGGCTCGTTGCCTTACACCAACATAATATACAAGACAATGCTGTCAAACAAGATACAAACATCCCAATAAGTTAGCCACATCCAGACCAGGACTTGCGCCCTGGTGAGCGTCATCTTTAAGTTGGGTTTAGGGGAAAGCAGCCTTGGCAGCATGCAATCCATGCTGTGACCGCACGCTCGTCGTCCCCCATCGTTTTTCATGCGGCCTTTCAATCCCCGTCTTGCAACCTTCATCTTCACCATCATCTCCCTCCGTGGGAGTTCACATCGTGGCCTCCCTTCCTTTCCCACCCAGTTCGACCCTCCCCGCCACCCACCTCGCCGCCTTGCGGCCTTTGAGGCTTTTTCGTGCTCCGCCTTTGAGGCTGCGACGTACTTCAGACGACGCTTCTCGCACGCAGACATTGCATGTAGAGTAACGTCACCATTACGTCCTCGTCCGCCTCCCCTACCACCGGTCGAACGACTAGCCCGCCCACCACACCCACGTGACGTGGGCCACGTCCAGCTGGCTTGCCCGTCGGGGTTTTGTAGGCCTTTTGTTTAGGGCGCGCCATCATCGTGCCTCGACCTTTCTACCCGCAATGTTGGATGAAAGGCTTCTATTTACACTGTAAACCTAAAACGAGTGGCAGACGCAACGCGGAACGCCACCACAAGCAAAGTCAGTGACAGCGGCTGCGAACAGAGACAAATGCGGAAGCCTGTTTTGAGCTGTAGGCGGGCCGCACTGTACTGCGAAGGGGTTTGCGACTCTCGTCTACATGGTGTGGTCGCCGTGGCTAGGGTTGGCGTAAGTTGGAAAAACAGATCTGAAAAATGGAGCCACACATTTGTGCCCCCCCCCCCTCCCTCCCCACCCCAGATCTAGGTGTTGGTTATGTGACGAGCTTCTCTGTATGCTCGGCGAGTTCTACACAACTGCTCGGCAATCTTAAAAACTCGCCGAGAAAAATTTGGCTCGGTGCCATACACCTGTTCCATTCACCCTGCGCTCTGATCCTCGCAGCACACATAGCCGATGCCCTCAAAAGCATTAGCCGCTGCGCGATCGTAACGGCTCTGGGCTGGGCTCTGCGCGACATGGCCCTGGAGCGCTTGTTACCCCTTGTCCACCTCTCCTATGGGGCCTTCTCGCAGATCTTTCTGGATGCGGGGTTTCAGCCCCCTTCATCAGCCAAGCTGGTGTGCACAATGGGGACCCTCTAAACCCCCTGCTTTTCGCAGCAGGCATGCACCCCGCCCCCTGTCAGCCACAGCGTTGGCTTTCCCGTCAGTGCCCTGCCCTGCCTCACATCCGCGGATGACGTTACGTATCTGGGAGCAGCAGCAGTCTGCGCAGCAGACATGAGGCTGTCACACAACCCCGCAAAGTGCTCGGCCTGGAGCTCGAGTTTTGACGACGTGACGACCCTTTCGGTTGGAGTACCACACCGGCCAGAAATTTTCTGGTCCCTTTTGAGGCGCCTCAAAAATTTTCTGGTCCCTTGGCAGCCACATTGGCCTCGCAAACGTAGCAGTCTCGCTGCTTTGGAGCCAACTGGGTGAGGTGTCCGCCCCGCTACCACTTGTTGCGGAAATGGACCCGCCTCCTTGCTGCTGAGCAAGTGCATGCATATCCCAGCGGATTCTTTACCTCGCACTCGCCACGCCGCTCCAACTCCTCCCAGGATCAGAGTGGTCCTTCTGGGGGAGTTCACTATTGCACACCCTTGTTGATGCATGTAGCATCCGCCACCTCACAGGAGCTACGGAGGAGCAGTGGGTGTGGGCTTAGGTATCATTCCCCCCCTCTCTGGGAGGTTCTGGACTAACCGACCCCGTGGTCGAAGGTACCTCGGCAGTTTCGTGCAGGACCCTTGTGCCAGTTTCGTGCACGACATATTCCTCTCCATGACCCCAATCCCCTCCGCTGGGCCCTTGTGCCAGTTGCGCACAATGTTCCAATCGTGCGCAACGTACACGAGGTCACAGCACTTCTTAGAGCCAAGCCTGTTGCAATGCGACGCGCCGTGTGCACCGATTCCCAAACCGCCCAGTTCCACTCGCACGATGCAGCGGAAACTGGCTGGGAAATTCCTGCGAGCTCGGGGCACATGCTCCCATGCCACTTCCACCAAAACACCCAGCAGCCCAGCTCATCTTCGTCGCCTTCACCTTCTCCCGAGCAGCCGTGGCATCTGGCTGCCCAAAGCTCTCAACCCCATCCAGGTACGTCAAAACCCCCTCCTCTAACGACATCCCCGACCGCGCCGTGGCCGCTCCCTTTCTGAACGTCTCGAGGTTGGAGTTTGCGCAGGAGATGAACCTCTTGAACACACGGATGCATTCTGCATCCTCTCCAAATATCTCCTCAACCTGGTTGGCCCGATTCAAAATCCAGCTAGCCATGTGCAAGGGGCATGCTAAGGAGTGATCCTATCACTCCTTCACGTTGTAGTGCTTGTAGGTAGGGTGGTCTAACGTCTCCTCGTGACTTCACCGTGTTACTAGATGCAGCTTTCGAGACACTTGCATCAACGCTAGGGACGGATGCTGGTGTGGAAGACGCCATGCCGTTAAGCAAACAGAGGAAACAGAGGTACTAGTTTAGATCTGGTTGTGAGGAAACAGAGCTGATAAAGACTAGCGTGGCTGGTTTTACTAAATCTCGTTTGAATTTGCCTTGGCTGGAAGTTGTGGATGCAAAGTGGTTCAATGTGGTGGGGGGAATCGTGGTTTTGTGTTGCTGTTTGTTGTTCAATGTCGATTTAGAATGCTCATTCGCGATTTCGTGCAATAAAAATTTTCGATCCTGGGCTGCCAGATTTTGTACATATACATTTTGGTTTTGGGTTGCGTATAGCGTTTTGACGCGCTTCAAGCGCTTTGTATCAAAGCGCTCGCGTCAATTCGCTCGAAGCAACCCCAGTTGAGCGTCAATTCCAACATAGGACGCGGGGTGCACGGACCTCAACGGCCAGGGGAGACTCACTCATGAGGTGGAGGGAATAGTGTCGAGCATTGTTGCTGCTGAGGAGGAGAGGGAAGAAACATGGCAGCGGTTTGGGGGATGCGCCAATGAACTGGTGAAGGTGCGCGGGTGGTAGAGAGGGCGGTTTGCTGGATAGGGGAGAGGTAAATATGGGCATATGAGTCAAGTTTGCACTCGACTCGTATGATGTAGTAAAAAAACTTGAGTTCCGACTTTTTTATTTGTGCAAAACAGATAATTGTGCACCATTTGATCCGTGCAGTTCTAGCATTCCGTCGCTAGATCTGAGAGATTATATAAATTCGCAGCGACATTAGCGCGAATCTGGCATTTTGCTGCCATATCTGTGCGAAATAAGGTGTTCGAGGTGGTTTGTGGAAGATGGCGGCATCTTGGTGTTTGTTGAGGAGCGGAGCACCGGGGTTCCAGGTGGATTATGGCTGCAGAAATGCGCTGGCCTGGACCATGTTGCTGCAGGTTCTGAAGTCAGACATGGTGAGAGTTGTTTCCTGCAAATTAGGTTTTGTGGAGGAGCTGGGGGTTGGTTGGAGTGTGGGGTGAAAGGAGCCTTCGAGTCGAGTTTTCCAAGAACTTGGTCGAGTGTGCTTGAAATCGTCCGAGTTTTACAAAATCTCGTCCTTCGGGGGAGTTTCTAATGCCTGTTAGTTAGGAAAAATATCGACGGGTTTTCCTCAACTTGACTTGTGGGAGTCAAAACTAGTCATATTCGTCATTTCCTCGTGTATAGGAAGGGGTGCGCGCGATGGCTGTGCGCTCGTTTCTTCCCTCCTCTCCATCGTTTCTCCTCTTAATTCTGTTCCTGTCCCGTGCCATTTGTGTTCATTGTTGCAGATTAATTCGGGACAATCAACTCTCTGGCTCAATCCCCACTACAATCAACGTTCTTACAAACATGCAACATCTGTAACCAATCCAGCGTGGTTCGGGGGTTGAACCACTCTGAAGGTTTTAGTTTGATGTTCGGGTTGTGAATTCTGAGCCTGAAGGTGTTGTAGTGCAGTTCAGCTCGAACCAGTCCAAGATTGGTTGCATGAAGTATGTTTCAAAACCAAACTTAGTATGAAACACAAGTGGCTGGTGCAATGTTGCTGGAAACGTGGGAAGTGAGCTCTGAATTTCTTTCTGTTGCCATATCATAGCCACGTCTACTTCAATCCGGTGAAGCTGGTCCACCCGAACTGAATGACTACGAAAGAGGCCCTGTCCTTACCTCCCTTTTGTTCAGTGCCTTGCGCAAATTATCATGTGTCATTTCTCACTTCTCCTGACCCCTTCCTTCTGCTATTGTCAGCACATATCTCACGGATAATTGTCCATTGTGCTGCTTTTCATGCCTTCGTTGCAGTCTCAGGGATTATCAGGGATTTTGCCTTCCAATGAAGTTGCTTGCTCATATGTGTCGGTCGTTGCCATGCCAACTTGAGCTCCCTATTTCTACCATGTACCCATTCATACTCATTGTTGCAGATCACTTTCTAACAATAAACTCACTGGCACAATTCCTACTGCAATAGGCCTCCTAACAAACCTCCAGGAGCTGTGAGTCTTGAGTATGTAATGTGTTGAGCATCTACTGGTCCCACACCGGTTTAGGCCGAACCTGGTTGAAACTGTTCAGGTCGAACCTGGTTCAAGACAAACTTCTGCAATGCGTCCTGAACCAGGAGTGTGATAACGAGGCCTTGGTCGGTTCGAGGCAAATTTTCAGGTTTGGTCGTGTCTACCTGAGTGCAACACCTTTGCATCCTCGCCACGTCACTCCCCTCCAACCCCCTCTGCCGTTTCCCTTCTCTAGGCTGATGCAGACAAATTTCGCTTAGTTGCTGACCTCCGCTTTAACGCAAAAGTATCTGACGCTAGGGTTAAATTCATCGACAAGGTCCTCTTTCAATCCTTTGTTTAGCATCAGGTTGTTAGAAATTGAGGCTTGAACTGATACATTAATACTGAGCTCAAGGCTTTTTAAGTACATCCGACTGGTGAGCAAGGAATGGATGAGGAGGGAATTGGGGCAGATCCTAGGGGGATTGGCTGAAATCTCCAATTGGTGGGTTGGAAATTTAGGTGGAATCACATTTGGGTTTGGTTGGGATGTGGGTGTACACCCAACCAACAAGAACTACAAACTACACTAAGCTAGGATATAAAACTGCAAGTACAAAAGTTGAGCTTGAGGGCTAACTCTGACGAAGGCCTCTTTGTTCAATTTCCTCCCTCGTTGCGCGCCCCTCTTGAATGCTCTTCTTCTGTCCCCATCGATCCCCTACCAATGTCAGCACACATTCTACAGTGTGCTGCTTTTCTTGCCTCGGTTGCATTCTCAGGGATAGCGCCTTTTAGTGGAGCTGCATGCTCATATCCGGCTCTCATTGTCATGCGACGCATGCGCATTCATACTCATCCCTGCAGATCGTTTTTTAACAATAAGCTCACTGGCACAATTCCCGCTGAAATCGGCAACCTTGCAAAACTGAACACTCTGTAAGCACCCGGCAAGGCCTTTGCTTGGATGTACTCCAGGTAACTATCATCTCTGTACTCGGCCGGGTCTTGTCCTTTTGATGCTAGTCCTGACCCATGCACTCCACTTTCCTCTCTTCCTTCTTTTCCACCCTCACAAGCTCCTTTGACCACCACCCTCTCCTTCGCTATATCCTGTGGTCTTGGTGCTAGTAGTGCGAATGCGACTGGAGCCATGCGATTGTGGGTTGCAAGGTAGAAAAGATTTGAGGGTGCTATCTGGAACTATGTTGGGAAAGGCGCTCAAGCAGGTAAGCCTCCTACGTACGGATGCAGGACGCAGGCCGAGACGCAGGGCGCTCCCCGAAAACATTTTCGTGCTGCCCGAAAGAAATCGTACCCGCGAAATTGACATTCTCGATTCGACACGAATGTCAATTTCACGAAATCGAGGGCCAGGCAGAGGAATTTCGACCCCCAAATGCCTTCCCAACCAGAGTTTTCCCATAACCTCACATTACCGCACTAGATCTAGGGTTTCCATCCTTGGCGACCAGATCTCATCCCTTTTGGAAGAACCAGATCGTCATTCTCAGCATTTCTCCTTGGCGACCTAGTTTCCCTTCTCGAAACCAATGTTCTAGTAGCTAAGAGTAGTTTACAATGTCTACTTCAACCTCTAACATCTATGTTCTTTGGCTGCCCGTACTTTTTGAGTGGACCAGCGTTGTTTTGAGCGTCCTAAACAGAACTAGGCAGCCGTCCAGCGTCCAGACGCTAGCATCCATCCAGGACACTGCAGTGCCTGTCTGCAGACGCGCACAAACAGCGAACTGAGACTGACACAACTGTGGCTGGCTAACAAATATTTCACCAATGAATCCTCTCTGCTGCATTTCCTCCTTGCTTCTCGCTCGTCCATCCCGATTGCTCTTGTCCATTTCCGTTCCCCCCTCTGTAGGTTTTTTTCATACAACTTTCTTGCACCCCTCCCTTCCTCTCTCACACCTCTCTCCACACCGTCTCTCGTTTCCTCCATATAGTACCTTGTTTTCACCTCTCTCCTTTCCTCTCCCGCCGCTCATTCTATGCATGCCTGAACTCGTCTTTCTCACGTCTCCTGCCCCAAATTCATTACCTGCCAGTGTCAGCACCCACTGTCAGACATCCCACCCCACTGCTTTTTAAGCCTGTGTTGTGTTTGAAGGATTTTCTCCTCCCAATGGAGTTGCTTGCTCCTTCGCTGCTCGCTCCATGCAAGCTTGGCC